TCTATCTATCTATCTATCTATCTATCTATCTATCTATCTATCTATCTATCTATCTCTCCAAAGTTACCATCTTTTGAATTGACCTTTTAAATAGATCAGGAGCCAGTATAATAATCTTAATACTGTTTAAAGAACATCCTGAGAACGACTTGTGAAAAAGCACCCAATTGGGAAAACTGTTCCTCCTTTAACAAGGAACTTCCTTCAGCTGTAGCCACTCCAGGAGTCTGTTATAAAACAGTGACTCCATCCAGAATTCATCACAAATGGGACCAGCTATTCCCAAGATATATGCCTGAAATTAAGCTGTGTAGTCATATCCTAATGCAAACACCATAGTCTTTGAAGCACACCTGGCTGCAGGCCAGAAGGCACAAGCTGATGCCAGAGAGAAGACTGTGTTTAATATAAACCTAGCCCTTGGCATGGTGTGGAATATACCGTTGGTTGTATATTGGTGTACCTCTACTGTAAAAATGCCCTGGGAATTTCTGTTGTGTTCAGGCAGAGCATTAAAATATACCTTGATGTTGATTTCTGTATGCTGAGATCTTACTTACAGAGAGGAAATTTGACTGCCCATCAGCACCTTGTCATGTTCTATGCTGCTGGCTTGTGGCTTGCAGTAACCTCCATCCCTTGGGAATCCAGACCTTGACCCTTCCATGCAAGCTTTTGCTCTAAGGCTTCCCTGTGTGTATGGTGTATGTTCCCTGTCTGCCCTCCAGGTTTGATTTTGAGGGTCTGGAAAATAGCGAGGATGGAGCGCTAGAGAAGCTGAAATCTTGGAGCAGGTCCATAGAGGATCTGCAGCACCCCAGCACCCTGTCTGCTCCCTACGCCAACAGTCTTGCTCGCTCTGCGCGCCAGTCTGCTCTCCGGTATGTACCTCTGTCTTGCTGCAACCTCCAGTGTGTATCCTGTTCAGCGGTGCCATTTATACAGTAATAAACCTGCCCTGCTTTCTGCCCTCCAGGGGATGCTGTGTGCTGATTTCTTCTTCCCACTCCCATCCTTCCCCCTTGATGTTCCTCTGGTGGTAGCTGGCCATGTCTTCTCTCTGCTCCAGGCCTTGTCCTTTGCCCTGCTCTGTTTGCCTGTCTTTGCTGGGTCTCCTGTTCTCTCTTTTTTTCTGTCCTTATTACCTTGGTAAGTATCCTCGTTCTGGGTGGCATGTAGAGTGTACAGTGATGTACGTCCCAGGCTGGATAGTGGCCTGTGTGCATGCAGATATGTGTGGGCCTGTGGACAAGAGCCCCCGCTCTCCATGGCAGACCTGTTGGCTTGGAGGCAAGTGGGTGGTTGAGTAGGTGCATAAGAACTGGCCTGTGCCTGGATGACAACTTGCTCAGGCTAAAAAAGCCCAAAGAAGACCAGCTGCTCTTACAAGACCAAACCCTCACAGGAGTTCATCCTTGCTGAGGGAGCAGCTGCAAAGCCAGAGCCTGGCCATCTGCCCTGACAGCACTGGCACCCACCAGAAAGAAGGTCAATAGGTCCTCCCTCTGGTAAGCTGCTACTGCAGTGGTAATGTGCAGGACAGGCAAATAGATGCCTTCCAAATATTTTGGGCTTCAACTCCCATCAGTCCCAACCAGCAGGACAAGGAGCAAGGGATTGTGGGAACCATAATTCAAAATATATGGGAGGCATCAGAATGCTGTGTTGGATAATAACAATAGTAGCTTTGAAAGATCCAGTGTCTTCCTGCATTGTCCTCTGTGTGTGTGTACCATATATATATATATACATATACATATATACTGTATGTCTATATGTATATATATATCCCTGCAGCACTAGGAACAGCTAAGTTCCTGCACAGAACCCTCAAACTCCCAGGCCTCTGGTAGAGGACCCGAGATTGAGGAAGATGCAGACCACCCATAGGGGTGAGAGGGGATTTTTTTTATATGAATGACAAACCTTCAATCTCATCTGCCTTGACAGGAACAGAAAGGAATAGAATTGAGCATTTGAGGGGAAGAACTAAATTTTATCATTACAACTTTTGGAGATGTCCTCTCTTAGCTGAACATTCTTTTCTAGTGATGACATCTGAAGCTTTCACCTCTTAGGTTTTCTCTGTCATTCATATGTTTAGGTTGTATGCCGCATTTCTGATAATTAACTAGCTTCTTTATTCCTCATGGAAGACATTTTTTTCTTCTAAATTTGGATTTATTTTCGACTGACAAAAATCTATAATTTGCTCTCTGTTTTTTAAAACATTTTAATTGCTTTGCTTTTGGTTTTCCTGATTTTGGTTGATAAAAACCAATGCGCCTTCATCTTGCTGGAATAAAGATGGGATGTTTTGAGTTTTTTTTCCTGAGAAAATCAGATAATAACTGGAATCAGATAATAACTTCCATTAGCTCCTGGAAAATGCTTTAAACACGGGGATAATCCCCTGAATGGCTTGAAGTTGCTTCCCAGAAGAAGTGTATTTTTCTACCATTTCTTTTGTTTCCCCCATGCCCCAAACTGCTCTGCCTACCAAGATCTGCAAAGCAGGAAAAGAGGGAAAAGCTGTAGGTTGTCTTTTGACTGGCAGTGCCAGGAGCCTTCTATCTTAGAACAGCCATCAGATTGCAAGGAAGGTCCTGTGGCCACACAGCCTTTCCTTTTCCCGAAGGAGAACATACATCTTGGGCAAATCTCCTGACAGAAGCCGGTGGTTCTAATTCCAGTGTTCTTTCTTAGCTGTGGCCGTGACTTCATCCTTGGCAAGTGGCAGCATTCTTTGGGGGACGTTACTGCTTCTTGCTAAATGTAGGGCTGTTCTCTTTGGCAGATACACCACACTTCCCAGCAGAAAAGCTCTGAAGAACTCACGGCTGGTGAGCCAGAAAGATGACGTCCACGTGTGCATCTTGTGTTTACGGGCTATCATGAACTATCAGGTATTGTTGGCTTGACCCTTAGTAGTGCTGGCTTCGAGCTGGGATAGGGGTTTCAAGGGCACTTGCCTGTGGTGAATTTGTAGGAAAACTGAATTCTGCCCTCATAGAATCAGTGTTTATAAGTTTGTGTATGCATTTTATTACATGTATAGTTTGGGGCTCTGCCCAAAGAGAACTTTTGGCTTGAACACCTGAGAGATTTTTTGGGCCCGGAAGAGAAAATAGGGTGGGAACTCAGTACTATTGTTACTTCTGCTGGCACAGCGCCTCCTGCTGGTCAACGTTTCTTCTCCCCAAAGCCTTTCCCCCACTTATCCCCAGTTGGTTTTGGCTCTCCAAGCAATGTTGTAGCATCTCATTGACTGGAGCTAATGATGCGGTATCTCTAATGTCAGTAGCAACAAAGAATTTCACTTATCTCTTACCCTAAAAGTTCAGTTCTGTCTAAAAGAATTCAGTTGTAAATGGAATGTTGGAAGATGGGGGACACCACCACTAAATAGTGTGTTTCCAAAGAGATATCTGAGGTGGTGAGTTGCAGCGCAACTGATATGATTGCTCTTGTTAAATTCCTATCCTTTTTTCCTTCTTTTACTCCTCCCACCCTATTATCCCAGTATTCTGTATGATAATTTCTAGCTATCTGTCATATTTATGAAGGAGAGCTATGCTGCATGTGACATTTTAAGAGACTTAATAATTAGTTTATTTACATAAAATGTCTTTTTTAAACATATATGCATGCCTACTCATCATGATATCACCTGTCAGGATACTTAGCTTAATGCAAAGTACAGAACAATACTAATTTATAATAAGCCAAAGAAATTAATGACATGAGGAAAAAAAGGAAACCTATCTAAAGCTAGTTTACTCCAACACCTTTCACTGTATCTCTCCATACCTTTTTCTCTTTGCAAACCATCCTTGTTTCCACCACATCTGCACAGTGCTTCAGATACTGTTGTCTGTTGTTTATATTTCTCACTTCTGTCTTTTTCATCACCTTTATCTAGTCACAACTTTCTCGGCTCTCGTTCCTCTTAGCCCATTCACTCTTCCATTATATGTTTGTTTGCAGTTCAGTTCTCATTTATTCTCTTCATATGACCATCATCTCAATGTACTTTTTTGTACTAGTCACTAATTTTTTACTCAGTCCACATTCATTCATCCCCCATTTATTCATTACCCTTTTTTTGTTTTTCCGTAAACTCATCTTGCTATAAGTACTCTATTCTCACTGCATTCAATTTACTTTTATATTTCTCCTGATATACCAAACTTTCACTTTCATATAACAAAGCTCTTACACACAACAGTGTTTTGCTTCTTTCAACATTCATTCCTCGCAGTACGAATGCTCAATTCTCCCCAAATCTCATCTCTGGTTCTTTCATTTATTATCATCCCCTGAGTATGAAATGCAGCTATTACCAACCTGTGGATTCCTACTTTCATATTCATCTACAACAACTTAGATAGCACCAGTCCGTATTTTAAAACATACATTTTAATTCTTTTTTTTTTAATAATTAAACCTACCCTTTCACTTCCCTGTACATATTCATCAGTATCCCTCCACAAGATCAGACCACTTGCATTCTTATTATATCCTAACCCTTTCTGTTAGTGTGACAGACACCATATACTTGTTGTTTTTTCTTTCATTTTATTTGTTAATACAGGTTTTTTACCATTTACTCATCTTCCATTCAAAGACTCAATCTAGCATATTCCATGGTCATCGATTGGCCCATAGAAATTGACCTCTGTTCCCCATCGTGATTTTGGTCAATTGAGGCTCTCATATATATATATCTGGTATCACTAATCTGGAGATTATCTTGCAAGTTACTGTACTCTTCTTTTATTCTTTTGCTTTATTTATTTATTTATTTATTAATTAAATTTATATGCTGCCCATCTCCCCCAGAGATGGGGGATAATTACTAAGTTACATCTTAAATAGGGCCTTCTGCTTTGTTTGCTGTTTCTTATAACTTCTAATATTTGTACAAATTCCTTTCCCTTCCAGTATGGATTCAATTTGGTTATGTCACATCCTCATGCTGTTAATGAGATAGCCCTCAGTTTGAACAATAAAAACCCCAGGTAAGGCAACTATATGCTCAATGAGCCCCATGGAAATGTGGATTGTTGTTTAATCTCTGAAATGTGTACTAAAGTTTATATGGTATGACTCACATGGAATATATTAATATTGCAAATTGAAACCAATTTCAAGATTCTTCAGTAATTATTGTGTTCCCAGTATCCAAGAAATCATGGAAATACAAGTTTTGTGACGGGTTTAGAAAACAAAAGATCTTCAGAACCCTACTAGAACCGCAGTCTTCTGGATTCTTTATAAAAAGGCAGTAGATGTTTTCTGAATAAATTGAAGGTGACTTTGAGAGAAGTATCACTTTCTATGGTGTGAAGCCAAAAAATGTTTCTTTTGACCCACTATTCCTGATAATCAAACAGAGTGAGCCGGGTTCTGAAATATCACAAATATTTGCAATATCTTTTTAGCAGAGTAACAGTATGATGATTTTTTCCTTTTCAGCAGTGGTACATTTTTCAAACTGCCTTCGGCTCTGAAAAACTAAACAATACGGTAATGTGGCCTATCTCCAGCTAGTGAATCTGATTTCAAACACATTTTAATTTGTAAAGCAGATGTGCATTTGGATAACTTTCAGTTGTTTCCTAGCATTGTTTGGTCTCGCTGACAGCTCTGTATACAGCCAGAAATACTGCCTAGCTGGGTTGTTGATGTAACTTCATTGATCATCTAAAATCTCCAGGTTTTACAGTGCATATCTTAAATTATTTTAGTGCATATTCCTTAATGCTTGGCATTAAATGATGAATGGATGCATATATGGAGAAGAGCAGGCATGTGAGCAAGCCATGTCTCTGACATCTTTGGATGTGTTCTGTAAAATAATATTTATAATGTTAACTATAACCATAACTCTAGTTTCTCTACAGCCCAGGGTCTTTTTTTCCTTCTGCATGGATGTCACAACTTTGTATCTTGTAATTCAGGGTTCCTCAACCTTGGCAACTTTAAGTCGGGTGGACCAACACCCAGAATTTCCCAGCCAGCCTTGCTGGCTGGGGAATTCTGGGAATTGAAGTCCACCCGTCTTAAAGTTGCCAAAGTTGAGGAACCCTGTTGTAACTGACTTCTTTTCTGATCCTTAGAAGTTAAACCACGGTGTGGGACTGAGTTATTTCTGGAACTACCTCCCCCCAAACCCTTCTACCCATCCCAGAAAATCTGGCAGGAAACACGGCTTCTGTCAATTAAGGAATGTCATCTTGCGGGACCCAGGAAGTGAGCTTTTCTGTCATGGTGCCCACCCTTTGTAACATTCCCACCGGAGATTAGATGGCCCCAACCCTGCTGGCTTTCACAAGGGCCTGAAGACTTGGCTGTATGCCCAGGCATGGGGGTCAGATTGTCAGAGTCCACATGATGGTTATTTTAATTGTTGTTTATTTGTTTTTACCTTGGCTGCCAATTATGTATTTTATGTTGTTGCTGGTTTTATTTTTAAATTGTTCTTCATCACCCAAAGTCACCACAGTGGGTGGGCAGCCATATAAATTGAATGAATAAATAAAATAAATCAGCCTTTGTAAACAAATCAGATTGCGCAAATTTAAAAGTCATCTGGCTGGATCAGGTTTTTCCATTCATTAATCTAAAATCACATTCTCCTGATTTGGGAGACTGCTAGTAAATCAGATAGTAATTCTGCATTCCATCGGGGTTGAAGTTTTTTCCCCCAGTAAAATAGGTCTAGCCCCAGTAGCTAATTCACTGGATTGTACTCCACTGAATATACTATAGAAGTTTGCCTCGTAATAAATCAGGCCACTGGTAGCAAAACTAAGTACTTTCTGCCCTACCTGGCAGTGGCTTCCCCAGGTTTCAAAGAGGATTCTTTCCCATCCCTACCTAGGAATGCAGAGAACTGAATCTATGTGGGTTTTTTTGCACTGCAGAATGTGTGCTCTATTCCAGTATGAGGAACTGGTATATACAATAATGCTTACAGGAATGTGGGTTCCTGTATTTACAAAACCTTCTAGGTTTTCTCTGAGATATATTGGGGAAAATACTTAATTCATTGATGGAGCGTGTACTTTGCATGGAAAAGGTCCCACCTAAGCAGCTCATGGTTCTGATCTGAGACTTTTGAGAGCCAGCGCCAGACCCTGAGTTTCATGATCAGACTCAGTGCATGGTGACGTATCATTTGATTTTAAAGAGCAGTGACATAATGATGACATGATTGCAAATGGGAAAGGTGTTTTTCTAATGGGAACTATCAAATGCTGAGCGGTGGATGGATTCTGCCTGCAAGTTCTGATGTTCTCAGGACCACTAACCAAGGCTGATGGGAAGGGCCTAGAAAGTTCCACATTAGGGTTAGGGTTAGTGCTGGATGTATGATCAGGATAACAATACTGCTCTTTCCAGATGGGGCATCTGTGTTTCTCTCCTTTCTCTCCTCAGGACAAAAGCGCTGGTATTAGAACTGCTGGCAGCTGTGTGTCTTGTGCGAGGCGGCCATGAGATCATTTTGGCTGCCTTTGAGAACTTCAAGGAGGTGAGGTTGCTTTGGCATCTATTTAAAAGGATAGATATTGAACTCTGAAGATGCAGGGGATTATGGGTTTTGAAGTCCAAGGCATCTGGAACACCAGATTGGGGAAGGTTATACAGATATAAGGAAGCAGATGGAAATGATGGTTAGATAGAACGACTTTAATATTAAGTCATACATCCAGAGATAGATGCAAACAGAGAGGGAGGAAAATGCAGAAAAGCTGATGTGGTGTAGATGGAGAGTGATCATCAACTTTTTTTTGCCAGGTGTGTCCCAAGTCGAATCCACTCTGGTATCTAATACCTTGGGCAGAGTGTTTGATCAGTGCAGGCTGCTCTGTCTTTTGGTGTTGTCTTGAGTCTTGAGCAGAGCCAGGCGGATACACCAGCCTGACTCCATGCTTTAACCAAGCCTATGTGCCGCTTATTTTGTTGATGTAACTCACACGCTTGCTGCCGCTGTCCACTTGCAGTCAAGCGCTTCACGGGATAACTTTCGTAGGGGTTTCATTTTCTGAAGTTCAGGGAGGTGACTCTCAGTTGCAGGGCCGTTTCAGCAGTAGCTTCCCAAAGAGCCCGACACCTTTCTGACAATATCCGCCTTTTTCAGTGGCATCTTCTCTTCCTTGTTGTGTGTCCTTAGGATGGCTCCTGAAGTGCTGGATGTTGGTCATGTGTTTATTAGATGTTCTATTTGGCTGCCGGTCCTGTTAAAACATTCAGAAGTTTGAACTAATAAAGAAAAGGCTAAAATGAATAAAGACTGAAATGGTTAAAGGAAAACAATAGGCCCTCAGGGTGCAACTTAGAAGAGAAGAGAGTGAGAGAGCATACCACTGTTTCCAGGTGGATAATTCAAACAGAGCTCATGTCCCTCCTGTGCCATCTACTGATAACAAGCCACTCTTTCTCTGGGTGTGTGGCTGGACAAAGAAATTACTCTGGGAATGTGCATGAAAGTAACAGCTGCCCAGCTATGTGAAGGAGCACTTATGGAAAAGTGTCAGCATCGGTGGAACGATGTGAATTTGGCAGGCTCATCAGGACTGAAACATGCTTACAATCCTGGCGTGTTCTCTTTTCTTAGGTATGCAAAGAGCAGCATCGCTTTGAGAAACTGATGGAATATTTCCGTAATGAGGATAGCAATATTGACTTCCTGGTAAGGAGTAAAAGCTGGGGTCTGTGTTACCAAAAAAAAAAGCATTTTCTTAGGAGTTGTTTATGCCGGCAGCTCATTTGGCCCAATCCTGGGAGGAAACAAAGTGACAGACTGAATGTATATTATCTGCCTTGATAATAAACTGTATAGACTATGGGATAACCTAGGACTACCACTGTCCCCAACTATGCTTAGCTTTGCTATCATGGATTCACCCACAGAAGAAACCATAAGTCAATGGTAGAACACAGACTTGCATTCAAAAAGTCCCTGGTCATTTCAGGCAAGATTGGGGAGGACTCCTATATAAAATCCTGGACAGATAAAGTCTATGAGTGAAAATTTAGGAGTAGGGAACCTTTATCAACCCAAGGAACACATTTATTCTAAGGAATCTCTACAGAACATGGATTAGATGGTATCAGTGTGTGAAGCCTGAAGCTTTTGCTACTCTTCTTCCCTAAAAGCAATCTCCTTCTCCATCATTAGATTAATCTATGCTTCTCTGCATGGAGGAATGGAATCTGGGCGAGATGGTGGCACTTGGCTATCTGGGAATTATGTTCTATAGGGTGTGTAGGATTTTAAAAATCCAGTTCTCTGTTAAAAAAAAAAAAGTTCCAGAAGCTAAATGAGAGTAAATATCTGGATCTGTGTGTCAGAATTCCAGCTGCCCTTTCTGTCTTTTATAGGTAGCCTGCATGCAATTCATCAACATTGTGGTCCACTCAGTAGAGGACATGAACTTCCGAGTGCACTTACAGTACGAGTTCACCAAGCTGGGTTTGGAAGAGTTCTTACAGGTAATATCTTGTCCCATCACAAAGCAAACCGCAAAGTGCTATTAAAATCTAACAATGTTTAGTCTCTCTCCATGCATAAGGCTGGTGCTTGGAGAAAGAAAATTAGGCTTGACAAAGTTAGACCTATCTCCTGTATTGTGTGTTTGTTGGCCCCACTATTCTTACATATTGTTCAGGACAACATCTACAGAGGAGCAACTCACTTGAATGCCACACAATGTTTGCTTCAAGCAATCCGGGCTGGTTCTAGATGGAGGACTCTTAGCCTTACCAACTAAAAGATTAACACATACATTGTGGCTTCAATTTCTGTGGCAGATGAAAATATGGAAAATAGCTTGAAATTGGTCAAATGAGTGCAAGATAGAGAACTATCACTTAAAAGACAAAACAGTCCTTTTGCTAACAGCATTTCTCCATAAGGAAGGACATTTCCCTCAGTCTACAAAGACTGATTCTGTGTGTTCAAATAGTTGTGTTCTATAAGTTCAGATTCTAGAAGAACGTGTTTTTTTTAAAAAAAAGTCTGCTTATAATGTATGTGCTGATAACATTTTCATTTTGATTAACAGTTTTGGGGCTTTTGTGTGGTTTCAAAATCTGCAGAACTTGTTTGATTCAAAGCAATAAGAGAAAATTTTGTACATTCTACAGGAAACAATGCCCCTTTCAAGTGCTTTTCAAGCCCCCCCCCAGAAAACCCCCACCAATTTTCATAGTGAGGGCCACATGAAACTAAGCGGTAACTCTGGATTTTTTTAGAAATGGAAATAGCTTCATTTCCGTAGTTGGAAATGAAGGCCAATGTTTTATAGAAAGGCAGGCTTTGAGTTTTGTTCTTAAAGCTAAGTGCCTGTGGAGAGGAATCGGACACTGAAACAACAGAGGAACAGCAGAAACATGGAGAAGTCCTCCAGTACAGAAGGTCAGAACTCTGAAGAGCTCTTGCAAGGAAGTTTCTGTTGTGGGACCATTGGTGATAAAGTGTTGCATGTGTTTATTTATTTATGACAACATTTGTATTTTGCCAATTTCAAATACATTTCATGTTCATGTCAAAATTCAACATAATTTCAAAAGCATGTCTATATCACAAAGACAAAGCCGATTAATAATCAAACCTTCTTTCCAGGAATCCCTGAAAATTATAGTTCTCTGATGGGGTCTAAGGACTACTAACAAAATGCCTAGCATCTCATCAAACAATCAGCTCCAGAATTCTGTAGAGATGAGGGTGGAGGTGAGAGGAAGTCATGATAGAGTAATGAGAACCTATATACATTTGTATTTTTAAAAATCTCAAATTTTTCACCAGTGGCTTGATATTTGTCATGGAATGCTTTAGTGGTTGATGTTGTACAGTACTTCCATTACCTTCAGAGCTGTTTTCTGTATCTCCATTTTTGGGCTCTCAGATGGATGGCTGAGATGGAACATTTCTGTGAGGATGCATCTTTGATGATGTCATGAGTACCTCAGAGGGGCTCTATTTTGGACTTGCTGGGGACTTGGTGGCATCCAAGAGAACTCTAGGAGCCTATGGCCTTTAAGAATGTCTTCTCTCCACAGAAGTCAAGGCACACAGAAAGTGAAAAGCTGCAAGTGCAGATTCAGGCCTACCTGGACAATGTGTTTGATGTAGGTGGGCTGCTAGAAGATGCTGAGACCAAGAATGTGGCTTTGGAGAAAGTGGAAGAATTGGAAGAGCACTTATCACATGTAAGTGTACAGACTTTTGTTTAGCATAGGAAAAGCCTTACTGGTTGAATCAGCATAAAGGGCACCTAATCCAGGAACCTGTTTTGCCTGCAGGAACTGCATAGACTGTTTAAGAAAATGTCCTTCCCCTTTGCACTTATTTACTCTTTAGTGTAAAGTGGTATATGCCACCAGACAGGGAGGTTCCATTCAGTTGTTAAACATTTATTTATCTCACCCCTTCTAAGCTGATGACAGGGTCACCCTAGCTTTTAGAACGTAGGGATTTTAATTGTAAAGAGTCTGATAGCTGATCCATCTAGGTCAGAAGTGCCTATCCATAACTCAAGGAGGTGAGACAGAAGTTTTTCTAGCCCTGCCTGGAGATGGCAGGAATAAAATTAGGGAGTTTCTGCATGCAATATAGAAGGTCCCACAAATTCAGTACATTGACTGAGGTGTAGAGATTTGACTGGGGATGCAAAGGGAGGGTACAATCAAGCTAAAATGTGTTTTTAACCATTTAAAAAATCCTGATTGTTCTTTGCTAAAAAAAAAACCCTCATGACAATCTCAGTAGCTCATTGATGAGAGTCTGCCTCACAAGTGAGTTATTGAACATATAGTTATCAAACGATAAAAGCAGAGCTGTCTTGAATCAAAGGAAAGACCAGTTGGTGATTCCTATTCTGTTATTCAGTTGACAGAAAAGCTGCTGGATCTGGAGAATGAGAACATCATGCGGGTGGCTGAGTTGGAGAAACAACTGTTGCAGCGAGAAAAGGAATTGGAGATTGTCAAGGTTTGTGGATCAAAGAAAGGGAAATGAAGATGTTCCCTAGAGGATGGGGGGGGGGTCTGACTTTGATTTAAAGTGATGGTTTAATCTAGATTTTCCTGGAAGCTGGTCACTGATAAGGTACTGTAGTGAAAGGTAGTTTGCTTACCCCATGGGATCTTTGTGGCCAAAGGGGAGAATAACACGCATCCCAGGAAACATCAGTTTTCATGGATGTTGTCATGGGGCGACAATTTCATTCATTCATTCATTCA